GCAATGAGACAAACAAAAAAGACGCGTACATTATGTTTTCACACAGGAAGAATGCGTCTACAAAAACACGAGTTACAACGTAAAATAACATTAATCAAGTACATATTATAACAGTAATCATATAACATATAAAAAATGAATGTTTTTAATAAAGTAAAAATACTTGAATTAATAAAATAAAAGTAAAAACGATATTTAACAAGAATCTTTCTAATTTGCAAATGAACCAATAAAGTCATCAAAGCTGTTTTGTAGAGCTACTTGTGGTACAGGTTGCACTGTTACATTATCAGCACTGCTTTTTTTTTCTTCAATTCATTGCGTCTCTTTTGAAGAATGCATTCATGCGAGGTTGACCATTCAGACTGTAACATTTCATGATTCAGCTTGAATCTTGATCGAACTGCTTCTAAATAGAACCATATTTAAGAAGTGACTATGATAAAAACTGATTTTTGTTTTACCTTTAATAATTAAGTATCGTTCATCCTTTACCAATTCATCTTTAGTAATGGTTGTTATTTCTTCTAACGTAAATAACTTATCCATTACAAGTGCAACATAACGACCCATATGAGTTTGAGCACCATATAACTGAAGTAGATTCACAGATACGCCTTCTGAATTGACATAAATCTAAAAAAAACAACAGCCAAAAGTTCACAAGAAAAACCTGCTAAATATAACTTACTAATATAGATTTAAATGGTGAATCGTCAACGATTATATTTTCATCACCAAATTGATCATCAGTTAATGTTACATTGATCTTGAAAATATAAATTTTGTTATTTGAGACAAAAAATATTGATACAATTGATATTTACCTTTTTCTTTGATAATTCGACGAGAATAAAAGGATTTTTTATCCATGAAGAGGATATTGATATCTAAAAATGAGATTAACTGTTCAAGAAATTTCTAGACAAATTAACAAATAAAAATGGAAACTATATACGTAGATATTATAAACTTAAAAAGTTATTTTCAACAATCGATTCATTCATTATATCCTTTATCTAATGAACAAGTCTTAAACAATTTCAATCAATCCAATGAGAAAGAAAAAAGCGACATCTTAGTATAGCTTTAAAATATGAGTTTTGTTTCTCTAAATCTTGATAAAACAAGTAGAACAACAGAATTCTAATCATATTGGTGATTATTTCTAATTTTTTTTATATCACTACATATAGTTTGTTTGGTTTTTGTTTATCGTTTCATCGTTAAAATCCGCTAGTCGAAACCGATTGGTAACCGCGGTTAACCGTCGGTTCTAGCTTCAACCACCGGTCACCGCTGGTTCTTAGCACAACCGACGGTTACCGACGGTTTTATTGAAAAAAGAGCGACATGGGATGTGTCTGTCTGTAGCATGTTTTAATGATCATAAGTATTTGAAAGCTGTTTGAGTCAAATAAGAGTCTCAATCGCCCTCCAAGAATGAACCCCTTTTCAATCACAATTTCTCTCGATTTTCTATTCAGTAGTCATTTTGGCACCCTTCTGCTATTTGCCCGTGTGAGTGTAGGTCTAGATCGATAAGAGACACCCACACTCACACTCTTGGTTCGAAAAGTGCGGTGCTCCGTGACACACTGTATCAATTATAGATATATATATAAGCAAAGCATTCTGGTCTTTTATTTGAAAAAAAATTGAAGCGCTGTCTAACTGTGATACAATAACTTTTACAATAATATACGTAAAGTTTTCTTAAAACAACATCACACATATATGCAAGGAAGGAAAAACTAATTTAAATCATCTGAAAATGAAAATTAACTCATTTTAAATTACAAAATCGCCGATCGATTTTTCTCCCTTGCATATATGTTTTCTGAAATGTTCTTTATAGAATGAATTATCAAAAGATCGTTTACTCTTTGAAATCAGGAATGATTATCGTAAAGCTTTTTTTAATTATTTGTATGTCTTTTCAAATTTAATAGTATCTTGTATTAATGTCGAAGTAATGAAATTTATTCGATCGGTATTACTGCATTCTGTCTCATTCTATATCGTCGAATACAAAATGCAATAAGTCTGACCACCCTTGGCACAATTAGTTTTAAAACTGTCACCAAACCACCAACTAGTCCAATTAATGTCGTAATGATATATATTGCACCATTCTTTGTCTCAACAGTATAAATACATTGTGATGGTTGACATTCATTATAATAACTATCGTACATTATTGATGAGTTCCATGTTTCAATCATTAATTCATCCATCACCTCTTGAATTGTTGAGTTTTCCACAAATTGAACTAACAATGATTTATCAAGTGCTGATACATTCATTCGTGTAGATGATGCTAAAAATGGCTGTAATTCATCTATACAACTCTGATTATAAAAGCATCGTAGGTCAGATTGAAGTAATGACTCAATAATATAACATCCAATATAAATACCTGGTACATATAAATATAATGTACCGCTATAATAGTCCAGAATCCTTGATTGAAATGTGCATGTAGCTGAAGAACCACAGCTACAATTATCATACGAATTTGCAGATAAACTTGTATAAGCACTACCGCTTATTTGATAAAGTGCATAATTAGTTAGTTGTCCATTGAGTAAAGCATTACTTTGAGTTGTTTTTCTTATTGTTGAAAGTGATAAAGTAAATTCACCAATCATTGTTTGTTTTAAATCAGAAATCAAGGACTCGGTTTGTACTTGAAATATGTGTGAAGGTATGGCAGATGC